CCCAGGGCAGCCCTTTCGTGGTGGTGCCCATTGCCCCGTGTCGGAATCCCAAAGGCGGAGGCTGGAGACCCCTGTGCCAAAGGGATCGGAGCTGGGGGGGGGCCCTTCTCGAGCATATGTCCCCTCCGAGCTCTGAGGCCCGCCTCCCTCCCTCATACAGGCCTGGAGTCTCTGCGGGACAGCGCCCACTCCACCCCCCTGCGCTCCACCTCACACAGCGACGCCTTCCTGCCCCGCTCGGAGAGTGGCCGGGCGGAGAGCAGCGAGCGGGTGGCCATCATCTCTGACGAGATCTACAGCCCTTCCGACAGCGTCCTCCCCACCCCGGTGGCCGAGCACAGCCTGGAGCTGATGCTGCTGTCCAGGCAGGTCAACGGGGCGCCCCGCAGCATCGAGGAGGAGAAGGAGTCGGAAGCTGGCACCCCCACGGCGGCCGAGGGCCCGGGCGGGGAGCTGCGGGCCTTGTGCCAGGGCACAGCGCAAGCCGAACAGGTGAATACGTTTCTCTTAAGTGTCCTCCGCTTGCTCCTTGTGACAGTTGGGCTCCTCTTTGTCTTGCTCCTCCTCCTGATCGTCCTTACCGAGTCTGACCTTGACGTTGCCTTTTTCCATGATATTCGCCAGACCCCCGAGTTTGAACAATTCCACTATCAATACTTTTGTCCCCTCAGGCGATGGTTTGCCTGCAAAGTCCGCTTCGTACTCAGCCTCCTCCTGGACAGCTGAAGGGAGGGGCGCCCCCCTCCTCCTCCTAGTCCCTAGCCAGGCGGACTGCGGAAGAGCCCCAGGCAGTGGGATGCCTCTCGCACACGGCGGCACCACCATCGGCGCGTGACACGAGGCCTCCTCTCGCGCACTGCGGCCTGGTCTGGCCGGGGGGAGAGTGCGGGAGGGAGAGACTCATGCCAGACCCAGACGACTGGCTTTTCCGCCTGGGGTCTCTTCCCTCAAGTTCCGGCAACAGCTCTGCTTTCTCACTTCTAAATTATTCCGCGACCGTCAAGTTTCATTTTCCGCTTTCATAGATGTGTTCACTTACGGAATTTCCAGTGAAGAGTTTATTTTATTACTACTGATAATGGCGTTAAGCGGTGCCAGCCTCCGGCTGGGACCCTGGCCCAAGAGGACAGCCGCTGCTTTCGGCAGGAGCTTCTGTAATGGTGCTACCAAGTTGTCACTTCAAGATTAAAAGGGACTATTTTATGGAAACTGCCACTGTGCATCGCACGACCACCTCAAGCATCCATCCATCCATCCATCAGTAGAGGCGGCAGTCTCGCTGTCCAGGACTTCTGCACCCTCCGCATTGGGCGTGACTGCGGGGGGGGGGGGAGGCGGGCTGCGGTCCCCCCCCGCCAATCAGCTGGCGTCTCAGTGCGTTGCAAGTTACCAGCAGGCCTCACCTGCAGCACGGTGTATTTGGTCCTTCCCGGTCGCTCTAGGAAGTGTGAACGCGAGAACTCCTTCTTTGTAAAGTCCTGAGCTTGAGCAGCCCAGCGATGCAAAACGTTCCCTTGACCAGCTGAGTCCCTAAACACAGTGAGGGATAATTCCCGGGGATGGTAACTGTGTGTGTGCGCGCGCGCGTGTGTGTGTTGGGTCAAATCTCAAGGGGGGGAGGGATCGCCTCAAAGGTCCTTGGAAGACATTTCGCTTCAGAAAGCTCTACTTGTTTTTTTTGTACTATAGAAGAACAAACTTGCTGCAACTTATATTTTAACAAGATACTATTTTGTTAATGAGCAAAGCCTTTTTTTTTAATTCTACGAAGTGGATGAACACGCAACGTGAGGTGGTTCAACAAAAGGGATTCTGAATAGGCCGGACTGGTTTGTGGAGGGAGGGAGGCCGGCCGGCCCGTCAGAAGGGGGTAGGGAAGCGTCATTCTGAATCAAGCCCTGCCCCCACTCCGCCCTCCAGCCTGAAGGCATTCAGCTCTGTAAAAAACAGTCTTGCAACAGGGACCGTCTGAGATGGTTAAAGCGTCTCTGGTTTGTCAAGGGAGCAATAAAAATTGCGCGTCCTCTTCGGTGTAAACGAGAGAATGGGCTCAGATGAGCATGCGTTTTATTTCATCTCAGGGAGAGATTTCAAGACATCTGGAACTCTAATCAAAACTCTTTCAAAAGGCTGGTTTCATTATCTTGTCTGAACGCAATTTCAGCATGATTCCCCCCCCCCTTTCCTGAGCCACTCGTAGAGTTCACAAGCGTGGGGGTGGGTGGGGGGAGTGCACCTGCAGTCTCCAGCGCCCTGATTTCCTTTCCACATGCGGTTATGCGCTGGCCCCCGCTGATTCTTCATTGTTTGGAAAAAGAGCACAATCACACTATTAGCAATACACCAAGTATTGGTCAAAGATTCGGCTGGGTCACACGCATGGCGCATTCAAAGGGACACCCTGGAATTTGAACACAGCCCCGTTGGCCTACAAGTATTTCCCTCCTGACCATGAAGCGCAACTGCCAGAAAGCACGTCCCAAGAGTCGAGGGGCAGGCCGGCTTTCAGCATATTGATGAAAACTTTGGCATTGGGGGGGGGGGGGGGGGGGGGGAGGGCAGTTTACAAGCAGAGATCCTGTTTTATGCAACACAGCAACAAATTGATTTCTAGTGTCGTGTTCCTACCTCAGTCTGTAGTAAACGATGCTTCTATGCAGTGAGCGGGAAGTCTTAATTTCACATTCTCCATCATAGCTCTGAAGATGCAGTGTTTCGTTTTTCAAATTGTCGGCGTTTTCCTCATGCCACAAATCAACGTGTCCGATTATGTTTATAATAACTTTTGTACGAGGGACGTTTTCAGCAAGAGCAGCCTTTGGATACGGCGGGTGGTGACTGGCTTTGCTGAGGGCGGATGTGCCTCTCTGAACCACCACCACCACCCGGGGCGCCATCGGGAGGGAAGTTCTCCTCCCCGGGGACTTGTGCGGGAGAACTTCCCAGCGGGTTGTGCCCTGGTTTTTTCACCCCGTGACGACTTCTCCAGCTGGTAGCGCAAAACAAAAAAATATCCCCCCCCCCCCCCCCCGTCTTGCCCGCGAGTCTCCGTCTCACGTTCCACGACTGAGTCACTCCAGGTCTCCTGTGCAGAAAACTGTGGTGATCTCCGTAGGTTGCTGTTGTCAGTGGAAACCACCTTCTCTTAGTACGGCCTAGTTAGCTCGCTGCCTCTGTAAGCAGCGGGAGAGGTCAAAAGTACCTGAAAAATGTGAATTTTAGTTTCCATAATATAGATGTTAACCTTCCATGTGCCAAATGCTGTACGTTACATTTTCTTCCCTCGAAATGGTGTGCATTTTCTACATATTCAACATGTAGTTAGCATAAAAATCATTGGTGCCATAAAAGTATTTTTAAATTGAAATAAATATTTAAATATTATGAAAACATTGTGTGTCACGTGATTTGGCCCAGGCTGGCCTGATCTCGACAGATCTTGGGAGCCAAGCAGGGTTGGCCCTGGCTAGTATTCGGGTGGGAAACCGCCTGGGAAGTCCAGGGTCAGGCGGCAGCAATCCACCTCTGTCTGTCTCTCTCTCTTGCCCCGACCTGGATGGCCCCGGCTAGACTGACCTCAGGGGATCTTGGGAGCTACGCAGGGTCAGCCCTGGACAGGAGTCCGCCGAGAATTAGGCGCAGGCTGCTCCACAGCGTCAGGCAATGTGCATCTCTCCCCCTGAAAACCTTCAGGGGTCTCTGTAAGTCCACTGTGACATAGCTCTATTCCGCTAGGGTCAGGGGCCTCACCTGGAGTCCTGTGTCCAGTTTTGGGCACCACATTTTAGGAAGGATGTTGACAAGCTTGAGCGTGTCCAGAAGAGGGCAACCAGGACGGTGAGAGGGCTGGAATCCAAGTCTTATGAGGAAAGGCTGAAAGAGTTGGGTCTGTTTAGCCTGGGAAAGAGAAGGCTTAGAGGGGACATGATTGCAGTCTTCAAGTATTCAAAGGGCTGTTATGTAGAAGATGGAGCAGATCTGTTCTCTCTTGCTCCGGATTGCAAGACTAGATCTAAGGGTTGGAAATGACAAGGGAGTCGATACTGGATAAATATCCAGAGAGACTTCCAGACTGTCAGAGTGGTTGAGCAGTGGAACAGTCTGCCTCGGGAGGTGGTGGATGCTCCTTTGCTGGACGTTTTCAAGCGGAGGCTGGACGACCATCTTTCGGGTATGTTGTAGGGCTGTCTTTCAGCTATGCTCCTGCAGAGTGCAGGGGGTTGGACTAGATGACCTGCAAGGTCCCTTCCAACTCTTAACATTCTATGATTCTATGATGGCACCTTCCACCACCACCACATCCCATTTGACTAGGCCAGCAATCATCTGAAAGGGCTTTCAAAAGACCCCCGGCCAAGAGAGGACATTTCTTCCAAGCTCCGGCTTCACGTCAGCACACCCACGTAAGGTTTAGATGCCAAATTCTGAAACAAATTCAGCCCCCGTTCATTCAAATGATTCTGGACTCATCTGGGAGGGGGGGGGAAGGAAGCAGTCCCACAACGTGGGCCTGTGTAGTGTGCAAAGCATTCTGGGGCCCCGCTCTAAAGGCCACTGACCAGAAGGCGCCAGGCTGGAAGGGGCTCGGCCAGCATCAATCGGCAGCCTCCATTTCTCAGGGGGAAGGTGGGGCTTAGTTGGGACGACTGTGCAGGAGGGACCACCGCAGTTCGGATCCTGCTGCTGGTAAACTTCACCTGGGCTCTGCTTATTTCCCAAACAGTGGGTGGGAAAACAAAACCACACACCTCTGCCTGCCCCCCTTGGAGCTCACGAGAAGTATCTTCCAGGCTCAGAATACCCTACGAAATATTTCATTCAAAGGCCCTGTCTAGGTTTCTAAGCCCCTCTGAACAAACGAATTCCGTTTGGCTGTAAAGAGTCACTATATTGGAATGTCACGGCTGAGTATTCCTACTATTGATAAGCCACGCCCTTTTAAGACTGAATTGTACATATTTTATTCAAAATAAACTTCTTTGTCTTATAACAAGGGGGTGGGGGGAGATTAAAACAAAAACACAGAAACACGCCACGTTTCTTTTCCAGCCACATGCAGCTCTCACTCTCGGAAAACGTGGAGGCGGCCACTAGAATTGCCTCCGGCGACGATGTACCTGGTGGGGTGGCAGGCATTGATGGAGCAGACGGAGCCCAGGTAGTCTTCGCTGGAGAAAGAGTGCAGCAGGGCTCCTGTGGTGTGGAAGACCTGGATCCGCCGCGGCCGAGACATGCTCCCCACCACAAAGCAGTCGTCCCGTTTGGGGTCCCACTCGGCTCTGAACCTGGTCAGCCAGCGGCCCGTGTTGTTGTCGTGCCTAGTCAGAAAGGGCAGGAGACAGAGCTGTTTGCTGGGGGCTCAGCACCCTTCTTCCTACTCTCGGGGTCTCGTTAAGACTTCAGTCCCTTAAGGATCGTTCGGAAGCCACCCTTGTTGGGGGAAAGGGGCTGCTCAACACTCAGGCGCCCTTCTAAAGATGGATGACAGTCAAATGCCAGGTCTTGATCAACGACTGTCAAATCGAAATCGAAATCATCTCAGCACATAGCAATAAGCTCCCCCCCCAAAGCAAAAAGCTGAAGGCAGCTTAACCATAAATATAGAAACGAATGAAAAGGCACTGCACCTGCCCCCCCCCTCCAGCAACACCAATTGAGGAAAAAACCCAAATCCTCTGGAAAGCTCTCAGAAGCTGCCTCACCCCAAATGCAGCGACCAAACAAGAGGAAGAAGAGGAGCAGGCAGCCCGGCCCAGAGGGGGCTGGTGGGCAGAGACTGCCTCGATGACCCCAAGTGGTGTAGACAGGCGGGGGGGTGGGGGAGAGGGAGATGGTCCTCCTGCTAGGCAGACATCCCCCCCCATCCCGGTCACAGAAGGGAAGGAGCAGCTCCTTGACGCAAACAGGCAGCCTGTGTGGTGGCACCTCACTGTAAAGGGACCCAATCCAAGCGCTGTACTCAGAAAATATCCTTCTCCAAAGTATTCTTCGTACAAAAATATGACAAGACGACACAGTCTCATAGAGCTGAACAACAAAGTCAAAGTCGGCTGCACCCGATTCCAAAGCCTGCTTCATCCCCCACGTTGGACTGTTAAGACTTCTGTTTTGGGATCGGGTTCCTGGGGCACAAGAGACTGGACGGCATTCGTCGTGTCTTGAAGCCCACACTGCCTTCGTTGTTCCCGTCTTTGAGACTGTGACTATTTTGTCATGTTTCTGTATGACGGATACTTTGGAGAAAGATATTTTTTGAATAATAACTCATGTTTTGTACAGCGCTTGGATTGGGTCCTTTATAGTGAGTTATCACAGGTGCTGGTCTATTTGTGGTTGTATTCGGAAGAGGCCCGGCAGGTTCACACTGACTAACCCCCCGGGGAAACCAGGGGCAGCTGCCACATTTCTGCACCAGCAAAAGTCCAGGGCCCAGCCAGGACAGCCGCCTCCAGAGCAGGGGTGTCAAACATGTGGCCCGGGGGTCAGATCAGGCCCCCGGAGGGCTTCTGTCAGGCCCGCAGTGGAACTGGCTGTCTTCTGCTTCTTCTTCCAGTTCTGCTGCTGCTGCGTCATCATAGGTTTGCAGCTTACAGATACACAGCTGAACAGCACACTCAGGATTGCAACAGCACAGACATTTTGATGCGATAATTCAGAGCAAGAGGTGTCAGTTATCAGACACTGTTAAATAAACAAAATATTGCAAGAGTGCTCATGTTTTTAAGTAAAAAAAAAAAGGTTGTGTTCTTTATAAAGTTTATATCTCCGCTGGCTGACATTACATTTTATGGCACACGCCTGGCCCGGCCCAACGAGGTCTCATTTATGTCAGATCCGGCCCTCGTAACAAATGAGTTAGACACCCCTGCCCTAGAGGCAGAGAGCAAGGAAAGAGGAGGTGGGTGTCACTGGCCAGCTGACGAGCCCCGACCCTCCCGCCCATCTCAGGCCCCCCAGCCTGACACTTTTGCCTGGGTCTGGCCGACAGAGGTGGCCTGGGAATTCCACGGAGCAAAGCCTGGCTGTTCCCCCCCCCTGAGGAAAAGTGACGCGCGGCCCCATCTGGACACATTACAGGGCCCCGACTGGGGTAAATAAGAGCCCCCCAGGGATGGGTCACGGTGAAGAAAACGGTAGGTGGGGGGTGTTCAAGCCCCCTCTTTCTGCACCCGGCAGCCCCAAGCACAGAACTGTCAGGCCACATCTGTCAACCACAGACCCAGGGAAAAGGGACGGGGGCCCTTCACAGATCGCTTCCCAAACCAACGACTGCCTTTCTCGAATTGCAGCTCTCTGCATCTCTCTGGACAAAAACAAGAGAGACCATCGGAGGGTGATTCCCGGAACACCAACTGGATATCCCAGGCAATGTCACAAGGGGGGGGGGATCAAGTTCGGTGGGCCGCTGTGGCGGTCTGAAGTAGCAGAATAAAGTCCGAGTCCTGTTGGGGCACCTCGAAGACCCATCAAGTGTAATTCTGGGCATCAGCTTTCGTGTGCAGGCACAAGCTTATAACCACAATTAAAGGTGCCCCTGGACTCAGACTTTGTTCGAAGGCCGAGAATCAACTGTGTCGACGGCCACCACGTCGGCAGGACCAGAAAGGGCAGATTTGTCTTCAGGTGCAAACAGAGAGCGCCACTAAAGCAGGTCTCAGTCCCAACCCGGATGTGAAATGGCTGAAGGGCAGGTGCATCACCTGGGAACGCCTGCAGCTGCTCCGCCCTCACCTTCCTCCAAAACGAGGAGGAGATTGGATGTATACCCCTTGCCCTCCACTACCCAAAGGAGTCTCAGAGCGGCTTACAAACTCCTTTCCCGTCCCCTCCCCACACCAGACAGACACCCTCTGAGGTAGGTGGGGCTGAGAGAGCTCTGACAGAAACTGCTCTTTTTCAAGGACAGCTCTTGTCAGAACTACGGCTTGCCCAAGGTCATCCAGCAGGTGCAAGTGGAGGAGGAGTGGGGAATCAAACCCGGTTCTCCCAGATTAGAGTCCGTCTGCACTTCACCACTACACCAAACAAGCTGAAGAGAGTCCCCTCAATCCGCCCCAGCATCCTTATCCCATGAAGGCTTAAGGAGAGAACCTCAGGAAAGGGCTCCTTCAGAAGTTCTGGAAACATCCGCTCTCACAACGAAAAGTTTGTACTTTCGTTAAGGGTCCCAACACCTTCTCCCGGCACAAGCTGGCAAGCCAGAAGAGGAGGGGACTGAGACGCCAGCAGATGCCAAAAATCCCGCCAGCAGTCTGGAATCTGGCTGGCTCCACTGAGCACCCCCCCTCTCTCAGGGGGGGGGGGGAGACCACCACCTGCAGGAAAGTGACACATTCCACCACTGCGATGCCAAGACGCTCTCCTCACGTAACTCACCTGATAGTTGTAAGAATGGGAGCCATTGACGACAAACAATTGGTGCCAAAAATCCTGAAACCAAAGTACAAATTGTTTACAAAACAGATCTGGCCAATAAAGGTGAGACAGAACTAGAGTTACAAGTTCAAAAGATGTGCATATTTACACCCAACTTCCCTCTGGGGTAAGAGGGGCCCAGAATTTTGCCCTCTGACACTTCACTCTCCCAACCAGCTCCCTGTGAGGTAGGCCAGGCAGAGAGTGCCCCGTCCCCAGATGACCCAGCCAGCTTCCATGGCACGAGTGGGGATTCGAACGCCTGACCCTCTAACCACTACACCACGGGCTACTTTTCTAGCCAGAAGGCCCCAAAAGGGTGTTAAAAAAAAAGGGGGGGGGGGGGGAAGAGAATAAGAATTCCAAATGACAAGAAGAAAGCAAACAAAAACCAGATCTGGGCTGAGTCCACCAAGCCGATTATCGCAGGTTCCCGGCTGTAGTCTTGCAGGGTTCAAAGAAGACAGGTCTGTCGAAAGCTGACTGAAGCTGTCTGGCTTCAAGCGATTTTATAAAGAATTTCTCCACTCATTCCCCCCTCCTTTACATCAACCATTACATATTGAAAGTTATACAAGTCACCCCATAGTATGATGACCTACTATACTCAGGAATGTGCCTGCAGACAGCTTCTTCACTATCTTGCCAAGGCCAAGTGACTTCATCATTTAGGTAGTACCTCATGCTCTCAGCACACAAGTACTTTTGGGTTCCCAATCTCCAGCCAGGAGAACAGTGAATTGTTCACTGTTCCTACACCCGGCTACCTGCCCCATACGTCAGTGGGCCCCCTGGAGCAGCGTGGGGGTTGGGTGCAGGAGGAGGGGGGGAGGGTGAATCATTGGAAGTCCCTGCCCTCTCTCACGTCATCCTGTACTAAATTTGACATTTTGCCTGTCTGGTAAGAGCAGGAAGTGTCTCAGACACATGCGGGCCGAACCCAATACCCACAAGTCTGAGACAAGGACTTTCACCCGAGTGGTTTACAAAAGGCCCCTCTCTCTCTCTCTCTCTCTCTCTGTGACCCCAATTTGGTTATAAAGGTGTCTGCAGAGTGATTAGACGCTCCAAGAATCCAAGGAAGGAAGGTCTAACCAACAAGCACTTGCGCTGAAATAAAAGTTGGCCAGCCTTTCAGACGCCAGAAGTCTCCTGCTTATTTTGACTGCAACAGATGTAACAGGGTTAAACCCACCCCCAAGAATCAAAACTGTAATGCACTATTTCAAGGGTGGCTGCAACACTGATAATATATAAAGGGCGATTTGATATAAGGGGTTCTCTCTCAAGACCCGCACCCAGGCATGGGGCGTGTCACGACAGGGCGACCCTCTTCCCACCACGTGTCCCCCCCACTGATTCCATCAGGTCTCTTTCCTGGTTAGTTGCCACAGTCAGGGGTTTTAAATGCTGTGCTGTGTAAAGGTGGGGCACCGTGCCAGGACAGCTTCCTCCCCGAACTCCTTCGTACCTCAGTGTGTCATCTGCACAAGTGGTCACCACCCGGTTGCCAGTGACGGGGGAAAAATAGGCCGAAGCCACGCTTTTCGAGTGCCCCACGAGAGAGACCACGGGCTGGCTCCCACTCTCCTTCAGCTGCCGAACGTCATAAATGCCGACATTCCTGCAACACACATTGTAGAGACTTGCACAAAGACAGAAACGCCCGGCTGCCCTCAGGGAAGCGCTTATGCCCTTGGCGCATGCGGCAGTCGCCGTCCACCCCACTGAAATCTGCAACCAAGTCGACCAAACAGATTGACCCGTAAATTAAAAAGCTGGAAACCACCTCAGTATTTTCGGAATCCTCTGTGATTTAATTTATATACAATACTTCACGTTGGGTGGGAGTTTTTAAAAAGCTACAGGAAATTAAAAATGGTTCTAGATTGTAGTCAAGGGTTTGGGGGGGGGGGGGCTTCCCCTGCATTTAGAAGATGACCAGGTCTTGGACTTCACTGAATTCTGACTTCCTCCGCTCCACCTTCTGGACCTTAAACTCCTGATGCGCAGCACAAACGTTCGTTCCGAAGGGGCTGAAGTGGAGGGTCCACCTGTAGCCAGGCAGGGACTGAAGAGCCCACCTCCTTGGGGCAGGGCTGCGTTTTCCCCGCATCGCTTGAGGCGGCCTCTAGGACTGGGAGTACGGAGGGGTGCCTCAGCCCCCTTTATGGAGCGTGGCACTTTCAGCCGTACAGCCCTTCCTTGGGAAGCGGAACTTGGCCGTGAGGATTCATGCTCACCAAGCCTCATTTTATGAATCCCTGCAGTAAGGCAGCAGGGCCTTTTGCGTGGTGGCACTCTGCAGACTGCAGAACTGCCTCCTACTATTACTTTTGGCACCAAGTAAAGGGGTTTTTTATTGCTGTAAACTTCCCTTTACTCTGCTCAGTGACTGAGGGGCTACTGGTCATTTATGCCATTCCAGAGCTGCCATTATATCTTATTTTTATATTTTAAGCAATACAGCGAGCTGACTTTTTAGGGTATAGCACTGGGGGTTTTAACTGTTCTGCTTTGAAACCATTTTTATCGCTTCTGGAAGCAACACTTACTTATTTTTCTCAACTGCATCGCGTGTACCTACCTTGCTCCTGCAGCAATGAAATACTCTCTGTTGACTGGGTGGACGTGGACGGTCCTCGTCACTGAGTTAAGATCTGCAAAAAGCTCCGTTGCCATTCCTGGTGTCCGTCTGTCCACAACGGCCACCCCCGTGTCCCACATCCCCACGACCAAAGTGGAAGCGTCACTCGACAGGAAGTCAAATGAGGAAAGGGCATACTCTTCATTCCTGTACACCTAAGGAGAAAGGGGGTTCACTTTGGCCCTGCCAAATAGCTCTTGTTGCATCTGAATGCAACCCTGTTTCCATTCTGTTTTTATGTCAACATTTCGCTCCAGGGGGAGGCTGCCTTAAATTGCAGCAATCCTGGGTCTCTCCTCAGCCCTCTTTCCTGTGCCTGACAGACAGAGTGGCCTGGGAGAACAAAGGTTCCCAAAATGCAAAGGAATTCATAACCCTGAATTGTCCATCCCAAACTGAGGCGCAGCTGAAATTCAGGTTCAGGC